CAACCTCAGTATTCTTTACCTTCTCCATCTTACTTTTCTAGGACAGCAATTCCAGATATGTATGATAATGTGAAACAAATAATTATTTCACATCTTAAAGAAGCTGAAAGTGGAGTGATCCATTTTACATCTGGAATATGGATGAGCAACCAAACACGAGAATATCTAACCCTGACCGCCCACTGGGTAACATTTGAGTCTTCATTTCGGCCACAGTGTGAGGATTATCATTGTTCAGCATTATTAAATGTATCACAGATCGATTGTGACTACAATGGAATCAGTATTCAAAAACAGCTAGAATACTGGTGGGAAACGTGGATTACTTCCATTGGACTTCAGATTGGGATTACTGTTACTGATAATCAGAGTATAGAGAAAACTTTAAATGAAGGTGATCATTCAAGTGTACAATGTTTTAGTCACACTGTTAATGTAATTGTAAATGAGGCTATTAAAAGCCAGAGAATGGTTCAGAATTTGCTTAGTATTGCAAGGAAGATCTGTGAACGCGTCCATCGGTCAGCAAAAGCAAAAGAGAAGTTAGCTGAGCTGCAAAAAGAGTATGAGTTGCCTCAGCATCAGCTAATACAAGATGTTCCATCCAAGTGGAATACATCATTTCACATGCTTGAACGCCTTATTGAACAGAAAAGAGCAATTGATGAAATGTCAATAGAGTGCAGCTTTCGGGAGCTAATAAGCTGTGATCAGTGGGAAGTCATGCAGTCAGTGTGTCATGCTCTCAAACCATTCGAAGCTGCAAGTAGGGAGATGAGTACACACATGTCCACTCTAAGCCAAGTGATTCCAATGATTCATATACTTAACAGGAAAATAGAAATGCTGTTTGAGGAAACTATGGGCATAGATACTATGCTGAAATCTTTGAAAGAAGCTATGGTGAGTAGATTGTCCTCCACGCTTCATGATCCAAGGTACATTTTTGCTACACTTCTGGATCCCCGGTATAAAACATCGTTATTTACAGAAGAGGAGGCTGAACAATATAAACAAGACTTAATCAGGGAGCTGGAAATAATGAGTTCTACCTCAGATGATGATAAACCTGTTTCCAATGGATGTGATATAGGTTCACCATCTACAAATTCTTATGGGGAAGATAATCTCTGGTCACTCATGGGTGACATGAAGAAAACAAAAGACCTGAAAGAGAGAGCAAAGTTACCAGAGGAAATGGTGCTTTCTTACTTGGAGGAAGAAGTGCTTGAGCATAACTGTGATCCTCTAACTTACTGGAACTTTAAGAAGTCATCTTGGCCAGTACTGTCAAAATTGGCTGTGAGGTTCTTGGGTTGTCCACCAAGCATTGTTCCTTCAGAAAGATTGTTCAATACATCCAATGAAAGCAACAACTTTAGTCAGTCAAGGTTAATGATTGAACACTTTGAAAAGCTTATCTTTTTGAAAGTGAATCTTCCTTTAATATACTTCCAGTATTGAAACTAATGAACAAACTGCTAGACTAAATCTATTGTTGCTCACTGGATATTAACTATCTATAACTTGGATTTTTAAATTGCTCCAGTAGGGGCCATGTATGACATCTAATCAGTGACTATAATTCCAAATTTTAGATTCATTTTTTTCAGCTTTCAATATGTCTACATGTGCCTTATTCATAGTACTTCAGGCCAGATATTGTATATATGTTTTTTAAAAGTTCACACTAGAGATAGCCTGTCTCATCAAATTATACAAAATTATGTAGGTTTTAATCCATAATTGTAAATGAACTTTAAAAAGCTCAGTCATTGTTTTAATAGAATGGCAAAAAAAAAAAAAAGGAAAAAAAAAAAGATGTAAACAGTTCTATTCTGTAGTTTTTTATTCAATTATTATGTAAAAACCATAAACCAGGTACTGTATTTTAGTTGAACATTGCTTTAATTACAAGAAAACAGGTTTTGTAGTTGTCAAAAGAAAGCTGTACGTTAAAGATGGGGTTCAAGCTGTCTTTTTATCATATGGTGTTTTTAACTGCAAGCCCTAAAGTACTTAAAGGATGAAGAAGAGTTGTTGAGGAAGATGTGTTTACAGGAGACTGTTGACTTAATATCTGAAAATAAATCTTAAATTTAACATGAGATGGAATGTCACTTATACAGCAATCGGTAGTAAAATTTCCCATTCTGGGTTCTCCTGTTCAGGCTTTACATTTTAAATGAATTACAGAAATAGTCTGGGTATTTATAAAAGGTCTTTGGAAGTTCTCTCAAAGTTTGTGAATTAATGCTTGTTATTTAATGCTGTGTACAAAAAAGGCAAGAAACTTACCAAGAAGACTCTAATGTCATTTTGAAGCCTTTTCTAATCTTTAGTGCATCAAAACTCTAAGGTCCCTAATGTAAAAATTGAGCCCTTACTCCTAATGTAATTTCAATTGTGTAGAACAGTCTTTCTTAAATCTCCTAGTACAGAAATACTGATCTTCTGGTTTTCAGTAATAGCCTTATGGATATGGTGCACTGCTTAGAACTTTATGTAGTAGGATTGATTTCTAACTGTTGGTGTCCATCAGGCAAATGGGAATATAAAGCCTTTAAAGCTTCAAAAAAGATGGAAAAAATAGCCAGCATTTTAATTTGAAAGGAACATTCTCCTTAGTTTTTCTCCAGAAAGACTTATATTTTAATTTCAGTTTTCATTGAATACAATTTTGGGAAACAAGTCATCATTTGCCTATGACCTTTTAGAAAAGTTGTAGCTTTGTTAAAATACTCTACCTATGCCTAATCTAATTTTGCATTTACTATGTTTTAGTGTATTTATAAATGGTGAACTCAGTTTCTGAAATTAAACATTTTATTTGCAATTTTCCAGTGGTAGTCAACACTGCCTTTTATTTTGAGATGGATTTAAGACAACCATTGACAAAAAATTATTTCAAACAATTGTAGTCATAAATATACGACAGAACAAGCTATGTGAAAAGACAAGTTTTCCATTTAGCTCTTTTGACTTGAGCCTGGATTCTGCTTCTTTTCATTTTCCAAAAGCTGTTTTAACTTCAGGAAAACTGGTTGAATTACTTCCCAAGTGGCTCTGGTTTCCATGTGTCATTTCTCTAAACATTTTACAGTTTCAGGTATTTCAAGTGTTATTCCATCATGTTATGTTTATACCTATACAATTTAAGTAAACTACTACGTAGTGCACTTGGGAAAGACTAATACTGCTTTTTTCCCTGCAGTATTTTAAAAGATAATGTTTACTTCTATCAATAGTCAGCATCTCTTTGTTCTTCTAGAGTTAAATGAGAATAGCACACATTTTTCCTGCAGTAATAAAAACAATTTGGTCTAGTTTATATGTAGCTGGAAATAGGTGAGTTTGAAGCAGCTTATTGGGAAACATGTTTAAATGGTTACTGGTTAATTATTATCTCGTTGTTTCTCCTACATTTTAACTGTGAATATAACCTTGACCCTTGTAGAGGAGATTTTTAATCTCTCCAAACCAGTGGAGAGAGGATGAAAAAAAGCCCATTTTTCTTTATAAACAAGTGATACAATTTTCACTCAAGGCTTGAATGTAAATACAGCCTGTGACTTAAAGCATTGTGGAGTCATATCAAACAAGGAGGAATGCTGGCAGTGAACAAGCTCACCTGAAAATCACAGTTTTCTGGACTCAAGAATCTTGGCTCCTCTGAAGGGGAGTCTTTGCTGTAGCTCCTATCAAACTCCCTGTGTGGAAAATTGTAGTGATGGCATTTTGTAACCCATAATCTGCCTCTTAGTCAAACAGGTAATTAATTGTATAGTCATGCTTTTGTTGTCAAAACATCTGGAGAACACAAGAACTAGTCACTATTTTTAAAAGTAAAATTTCATCAAGTTAGTCTACTTTATTTGTACCTATGATTTCCCATTTTCATTTGGATTTTTAAAGGGCTTAGTTCTTAAGACCACACTGTTTCAGTGTCAGCTTGATTAAGAATGAATTAAAGGCTTATGTTAGAATTTTTTTAAGATAATATGCAAGCCCAAAGGACCTTAAAATTGAAACATTTAATTCTTAAATAAAAATAAGGGAAACTGAGAACATAAAGTTGCTGTTTTCGGTTGTAAGCCTTGATCCCTATATAGGAGTTACAGGAGCATCTCCTTCAGATCAGGCACTGCTGCCTGTCAGAAAAGAATGATTCCAAAAGAAGGGCCGAAAGCTTTCATTGAAGCTTGAGGTAAGTTATTGAGTGACTGTGTTTTGTGTTGGGTTTGCCTGATTATTTTTAATAGATGAGATTCCGCCCCCCCCCCCCCCCCCCCCCATTTTTACAGCACTTTCCCTCAGATTAATAAAGCTGTAAATAGTGGGAGTTCTCATCAACCTCAGTTTGTACTGCACCAATCCCTGTGGCAGCAAACAGTTCCCTAAAGCATAGTAGTGACTCTGCAACAGTGATAATTAAACAGATACTTTCAGTACATTAGCAACTTCAGAAATAAATTTAGTAAGCAGACTTTTTTTCAGTGTTAGAATAGAAAGTAAAGTGTAGGTGATACTTGGTCATCATAAAAATCTTAAAGCTTTTGCTTCTTGTAAAAGTAGGCAGGTGTGAGAACTATACACAAAAAATAGTTTGTAGTAATAAAGGTAGGAAGGGGAAGAAGTTGAGATCTGCAACAGCCTTTTCAAAGAACTCAGGTCTTGTGAAAGGTATATAATGGAAAGTATCTACTGAGATGTATATTATGACTCAGAAACCTGAGATAATGCTTCCCCCACATTTGCTTCTTTTTGTATGCGGCTTCTTTCCCTGTCCACCAAGTCCAAGTGAAGGAAACGTGTCTGCAGAATTTAGTCAGTGAGCATTTACTACCAATACTCATACTTTCCCCTTGCTTCCCAAAAGTAGCTTCTGAATTTATAAAGAATTGAAATCTCAACTAGAGCAGTGTCAAGACCAGCGTAAGGATGTAGTTGATTGACAGCTCAGAGTTGATGTTTACAGTATTTGAAATTTCTCCCTTAAAGTAGCTTTTTTTTTTTTCCCTGCCATTATTCAGAGCTGTCCATATTAAAATTTCATTTCTTTACCTCCAAACACAGGAAAACTAAATACACACACACACACACATATATATAAAATACACAATTAACAAATAACACTTTCTAGTTTTAGATTGTTTAGATTTTATAAATAAGCATTTTACTCTTTAAAAAAAGATTAATTTCATATTAATCTTTTGCTTTATTCTTAGTAACAAGAAAGAGATCCTTTACTTTCTTGGTTTCATTGCAAAGCTGACCCAAAAGTGATTTCATAAAATGAGTATGCCAACCAGAAATAGTAACCACAGTGATGTCCCTGACTCAGGTATCAACTTGGGTTCTAAGGACTGGATCTTTGCTTAAGCTGTCCCTGACTCCTTTATTTAATCTATGAACCAATGCCTTCTTCCAGCTTCCTAAATTGGCAGTTTTAAAGAAAAGGTGGACTCCATTTCAGGCAGCATTTCTACCTTATACTTGGCACAAACTGACAGATGAAGCCTTGGTACAGAACCAAGGGCAGCTGTAGCTGAAATAAGACTGACCATGACAGTAAGATGTAGAATTTGAGAGGAAAGATTGGCTGCCCTCTCTGTCATAAAGATCTGAAATGAGCAACCAAAATGTAGTCATAGTTGCTCATGGTTATCTAAAGAGCTGATCTAAAATAAGTAGCTGCATACAAAATGGACCAGTTATACTTTGAAACCCTGCATACATAAATAGGAAATGAAGAAAACCTTTGCAGAGTTGTTATTTAGCTTAAGGAATTTTTGCAAATACCCTTTTAATCTTTGGTGTCACATGTTAAGCAGGTAGTGATACATTTAATGTCTCACTGTTTAACAGCCTCTTAACATTAGTTTTGGCATAGTTGAGACTAATTATGTAACCAGCTCACTGAGATAGTTGTGGCTAAACACTCTTGTTCACATCAATGATAAGCTCAGCTTGATGAAATTTTTCTTCTTTTCTTGCAAACAGAAAGTGAAGTCACTCGTACAAGAAGGAGCCTTTGAATACTACGAAGGAATGCTTTTTGAGGGTGGTGCTAGAATGGGAGCATGTAAGTCTGAGTACATGTAGTAAAGGGAAGCAACGCTAGGCTATGATTTCTGGAATTTCTGTATAACTTATGAAAAAACACTGTCAGATGCAAAGGAAACACTCTCTCTCACATTGAAATTGACACAGCAAACCAATGCTAAGAACTCGTATCCATTTTCAAGTTCCTTAACATTAGAAGAACTAGAAGTATTCAGGAAAATAAGAATGGTCCTGGAACAACTGTAACTGCAGGAGCAGCAGCACAATCTCAAGCTTTGTTCTGAATGTGTAACCTCTCACTAAGGGGATGTGTGAAATGGCCAGGGAGCAAGAAAAAGGAGCATGCTCAGTGTTTCAGAATGCATTGCACAAACAGATTGCATTGAGGTTGTGTTCTGAGGGATAAACAAGGATAGAACCTGAGATGTGCTCTGTTTTATTCCTCAGTGGTAGCAGATGAATGTATTTGATGTCAGATCCAATACAACCAGTCTCCTCACCTCAATTTAGCCTGAGAGAGGAGACTCATAGCAAGTACCTAGGGCAGGTATAAGATCAATATAGTTTGAGTTTTTTGAGCTCTTGATGTTAGAGACTGTAGGAACTGGAAGTTGTTCCTTGATCTTTAGTTCTTGATGCAAGAGTCACCTGTTTACCTCTATTTTGAAGCAGCTTTTACTTTCAGCTTCCAGAAATGTCCTCTACTGGCAAGTCCCACAACATTTTTTTATTTAGTTTTATAACAAAAATGTCCTACATCTCAGGCTGTAAGACTGATTATTCACCTTCTTCATGTGAAATGGCATGGTGATGTATTTTTGTCCAAATAATCTGTCGGACTTTTTACAGGAACAAGCATTGCTTCCAAGAAATTAAGTCAAACTTGAAAGAGCAATGTATGGTGCTACACAACATTTGACCCTTGAGGAGTTTAAACAAGACACCCTAAAATAAATCTCATTCCATATCAGCATTATAGATTAACTGTACTATCTGTCTTTTTGCTTTATTCAGGTTAATTCAACCTTCAGTTAATGCAATATGCTCACCTTATTTCTGTTTTTGTTAAGAAAAGCTGAACTTTATTGTAATCAGTCAAGTCAAAAGGTATTTTTCTTTCAAGAACTCAAACAGGCATGAGAAACTTCTTACTTGAAAGTCCCTTCAAAAATTCTAAGTCTTCAGTCACTGTCCTCCTACCTGCTCTATTAATTCTCTAACCTGACGCTTCCTCCTATGTCCCCCAAATGCAGAAGAACTTGTACTACCCCACTTCAAGTTTGCAGAAGAAGCAGGAGACATCCTTAAATGCCTTCTTGTATTTAAGGGAACTTAAACTCACTTTTTTCTTCCATGCAAGTACACTGAATATTAATTTATATTAAAGGAGAAAATAAGCTCTATTGTTCTTGTGGAGCTAAAGAAAGGCAACACAGGACTTGGAGATGAGAAAATTAATTTAAGGAGAGATGGCTTTAGTTTCTATTCCAAGGACTGCTTGTTTTATTCAAGCAGCCCTTAGGGAAATACTGCAGTAATCTTCATCCCAGTTCACTAGCTGCCCCTGCTTACTCCAAGTGAGGGCCACCATAATATTCATGGCCTGTGTCTGAGGCAGTTACCCATAGAATCATAGCTAGAAAGGAATACGAGTTGGAAAGGACACACAAGGATCATCAAAGTTCGACTCCTGGTCCTGCACAGGACATGTCTAAGAGTCATGCCATGTGCATGAGAGTGTTGTCCAAACACTTCTTAAACTCTGTCAGGCTTGGTGCTGTGACCACTTTCCTTGGGAAGCCTGTTCCAGTGCCCAGCCACCCTTTGGGTGAAGAACCTTTTCCCATTATCTGGCCTGATACATGCTGTGACAGAGGTCTTACAGGCACAGGTACTGCCTGGGTCACAATCTAGCCCATTTAGCTACAAAACCAAAGTTGCAGATTTTCAAGCTAAGCACTTTCAATAACCACATATGGACAAGATGTAACAGGACACAAATAAACTTCACACACTCTTCAAAACTGCAATCCAGTATCTTTTTCCTGTCTCCTTGAATGTGTTTTATCATTTTCTACCCCAAACAAATAGAGTAGAAGGCCAGTTTGAGCTGATTGTTTCTATTTCCATGGGTGATAAGGCTGTGAAAAGTAGTACACCTGAGCTCCACAGCTGAACACCATCACTGGTTGAAGTGCCACAGGTAGCACCTACACACCAGAGTAAGTCTGTGAAAGGACTCTATATGATGTGAGTAGGAAATTCAGCAAGATTAAACTCTTCAAATGCCTTGTGTACATATTTAGTGCCACTTCAGACGGTAGCTTGAGATGCCTATTCTGCAAGCACAGTAGCCCTAGGTTTTCTCTGCAGGTGATAGAAGCAAGTTCCTGCAGAGGGATTCTGACAACCGAGGATTTGGAAAGCTGGAGCAACCACACAGATATTTGTATACACCTGGGCAGGCAGGATAAATTTTAGTTTGGGTTCTTGAGTTGTGGATTCCAGTGTGGGGGAGTTACATGAAGTCAATGATTACCCTCAACATGAAGGCTTACCTACATCCTCAAACAAAAGTTTTCCTTTGTGTGGTTCCAAATTTGCAGCTGTTTGCACATGTACTTCCTTCTGTCTCTTCTGAATTGTTTGATGTTCAAACTGGCTCTGGAGGAAGCTAGGTTTTCTTCCAAAGACAAGTCAAATAGATAATACTTGAATGATTCAAATTTCAAGAGCAGCCAGAGACTGGACCAACAAGTTCTGCAGGTTGCCTTTGCCAGATCTGCTCAGACCAAGGAAGCCTGGGCAACAACAGCCACCCTTGAGGGAGCAGGCTCCACCCCACCTGATCAGTTCCCCTGATACATAATCTAGAAGATAAAAAGAAAACATGGTCCTAAAAACTGAAACATACACAGGTAAAGGTAGTTCCTGAATCAAGCAAGTTTAAGAATAAAAAGAAAACAAATAAAACAAAAAACAAACAAACAAACAAACAAAAAACAACAAACCATGTTATTCCATAATTATATTTTACTCAAGTTTTCAGTCAGCAAGGAATAGTTTTCTGCCCATAATTTATTCTGACATTTTACACTAATGGAGCTTCTGTCATATTATAACTGGCCCTAATGAGAAATCTAACCTTTTTTCCTTGATCCATTCAGCAATCTATGCAGACATCCTTAATAAAAACATCTAATAAAGAAACTAAGAAACTACAGAGCATGCAATCTTACTCTAGTTTACAGAATGCAGCACATGGCACATTAGAGTACTCCTTTCCAAAGGGATTATTTAATAAAAAAACCCCAAAAACAGCACCTATCTTCAAGTGGACATTTTCATAGGTAATTTTTACACTGCAAATTAAGATACCATTACAGCAGAAGAGGGGAAAAATGACTTTAAAGATTCTTTTTCCCAGGAAATCCAAGTTATTGCTTTTTCATTAATTGTTGGATGAAGATAATCATCCTCAGTACTCAAATCTGTTATGAAACAGTGCTTGTCAAGAGGTCCAACTGCTTTTTAAGTGAATGTTTCATTAGTTTGGTAGCCTACAGGGCACAATTGGGTATTATGATGAAGCAAGGATGAATATGGCTTTCCTATGTTTATAACATCGTTAGGTTTCACGCTAGCAACGTGACAGCTGAGGGGGTTACAATGCTGCAGATACATAAAGTAATACATCTTTGCACACATAGATTACATATCAAATTATTGCCCTAGCACAAACCTGTTGGTTTTGTATCTTATACAGGACAATTAGGACATACCTGTGCTACATGATGAAACAGACTACCAAATCAAGTAGACAGGTTTTACTTAATACCACTAAACTTGTAGGCAACCTCTTTTAAACATATCTAACAACACAACTCAGTAAACTGAGCATATACTAACTAGGAATGCATCGTATTATTTACGTAAGAAACAGGACGGAGCTAAATACCAATTGGTACAGAGATTTTCTGTGCCTCTCCACAGAAGCTGAGTTGCAGTGCTGGAATGACAATTTGCAGATGTCTATATAGTTCAATCATCAGCAAAATCACATCAAAAGACTTACTGAAAATTCACAGTCAAGATGATAGAGGAAGTCTTTCCAACAGTACTAATTTTGGTTTCAAGTTTAAAGTAAAAGGAGGTAGTGCAGTAAGGTTCAACCCAATTTTACTGATGCCGGGTATATTTGCCAGTGGCCTGTGGGTTGTCTTGTAATGTGATATTTGGAGAGGATTTGTTTCCATCAGTATATGTGTGTAAGAAAACATCAACTGGTCTCCTGGTTTAACATCTTCTCTTTTGTCATACCTGTGAAGAATAAAGAAGGTTTATTTTTATTCCTTGCTTTACCTATTAAAGATGGCCATTATTGCAGAGGCCATGTAGCATCCAAGATTAAACACAAAAAGAAACTAACATTCTCAATTATATCTCCTGATTAAATAGTACTAGAGGAGAAAATAGTACTTTTGAAGAATGTAGGAACTCAATCATTCCATGCAAGTCTTTCTGCTGCTATTGTGATGTAAATCACGACTCCTAGAAAATTTCTTACTAGTTCCCTATTTGAATTCAGTGGAGAAAGGACACTGCAAAGCCTAAGATTGTAGGAAACTGGACCAATTTTTAATTTTACTCTACAGGAATTGCATTTGGAGAAATGTGGGGGTTTTGTTTTGTTTGGGTTTTTCGCTGTTTTTTGTTTGTGAGGTTTTTTAGTAATTCTAAAAAATACCTTAAATGGTACTTAAGCAGAAACCTTTTTCGTCTGGTAGTCATACATTAGAATAGGAGCCTCAGAATAGCAGGGAGAAGATCTCCTTGAACGCTGGAGGAAAGAAGGAGCCTGGCAATTACAGTACTAATTTGGCACTTGTTATTTCTAAGTTCAGTTCCCTGATCTACTACATGTTTGGGCAGGTCACTTTGGGTCAGCTTTTATAAACTGTTTAAGTACCAGAATACATATAAATTATATACAGAATTAAAAAAAAAGAAAAAAAAAAGTAACTACTGAGTTCTAGGACTATTTATTATGTACACTTACAGTTATTTCTTAAAAGGATTTATGTTTGATCTAGGTATTGAGGGAATTTACAGGATGAGAAAACAAGTGACTTAGCCATTTGGCAGGGATGTGAAAGATCTAGTTTCAGCCAGTTTCATCTGATCTACACCCAAAACTGAAGTTCATTGTCTCTTAAGAGCTGTATGAGCCCCTTTAATCTTTCTTCCTTCTTGTAGGAATTGAGACAGATCTCCCTCACTGTCTCACGAGGACATGGTTCTACGTTGCAATAGTTATTTGTAAATTCACTGAGGAGAGTCAGGTGCAATTTATAACTTAAAGGTTAGGATATTCATACTGGACATGACAGCCTGATCGAGTCCTCAATCCAGCAACTCCAAAGGAGAAGAAAGAGCTAAATTCACTCCAAAACACTCCATAAACCACTGTTAGGCTCTGCAACCTGAGTGAAGAGCAGTGCCCCATTCTTCACCTTTTCTGTTGCCCTGTTCTGTGAACTGTTTTCTACCAGCACTTGGAGCTCCCATTCTTAGGCACCTGAATCCTTCCACACATTTCACAGGCATCTTACTCAAGCCGTGACTTTCCTTGCAGACGTGGACACAGGTAGGGAAGCGGTGCAGTCCCAGCCCTAAATACCCTTAAATGCACCTAGGATTAAATCCAGCCTGCATCTTTGCAGGCCTGGCCTCCCATCTGCCTGAATTTCCTGAAAAAAAATCTCTACTGATATTTTTATAATACTGCCTGACAGGGAAGTCATTAACATTTAAGATATTTGAAGGAAGTATTTTACAGAAAACTAGAGGTTTTGTGTGAATTGTTAACTAAAATTTTGGTAACTCAGGAAAGACCCCAGGTTGACAGAATTCGTAAGTGTCACTAAATACATCATATAATGCAGAATTAGACTACACACTGAACAGGTGTCTTCTGCTTTTGAAACAATTCCATGCTAATTTCACCTGCTATTTCCAAAAATATCACAATACCCCTTAGGTGGGTAGATACATCCAAACTGGCAGAAGGAACAGCATTACTTTGTAACAACCTTACCAACTACTAATTTCATATTTTCTTCATCAGCAAGTAAAAGGCCTTTCATCTGGCTGCATGCATTTCTAAATTTTATTATTTTTAAATACTTTAAGCTTACACAGCATATTTATTCACGGTTCAAAGAGACTGCACTAATTGAAGACAAGATTGTAACACCTGTTCCATGTAAGAACCTGCATCAAGCTCCTTTCAATCACCCTTTGAAGAAAAATAATAGACTGCTTGCATTTTTCTTGAGGCAAATAGATCTAATCTGAGCACACTACTGAAAGCTGATAACTTTAAGACACTTTTATTTATGGACTACAGTTACCTGATGAATCATCATCCTTCACAGCCACCCCATCCCTAATCTGTTTTCACCTGACATATACTGTCTACAAAGAGGTTAAGTTAGTTTTCACCCATCTGAAAGGATGTCACTTTCTTGGACAATGAGAAAATGGACAGTTGGTGCCAATAAACTTTGCACTGCTGTGCTGTCAGACCAAGTGGTAGTCCTGTGTGTGATGCACAGTTGTGGATTTTGTCTGATTTTTTTTAATGTGAAACTTTATGCTGAATCAGCCCTTCCTTTAGCCTTTGTTTTGATAAGTACAGATAAAAGCGAGAGAGAAACTGCTCTGTAGCTGTAACACCATGAAACATTCATCAGTGACAGGGATATTATTAATTCACCTTCCAATCCCACTAGGCCTTACAAGCCTTACAAACCAAAGCAATCCAACACTCACCAACTCAAAAAGCTCACTGGAATGAAGCACCACTGAGAGGGTATTCAGAGTAGTGTGTGTATTTAAGTATATTTTAAACCCCAAATACTGAAACATTTTAGCTATCATGCACATTCTATCACTTGTACTCTAGCAGCTTAATGTCTCCTCCCAATTAACGGTTTAAGACTTTCTCTAGATTCAGCATACAAAAAACCAATTTGAAATAAACAGTAGATAGGTAATTGTGAAGGCTTTAAACAGTCTGTACCATCATCATGAGAGTGCTTGGAAATAAAAAGGCATAGCAAGATCGATGATTTTTGTAATTCCCCTGGAAGCATTCTTTCTCCTTCTTCTGTTTTACTTCCAAAGTACTTTCATCTCTAAACATACCAATAATTAAATTATGTTCATCTGATCCTGAATACTGTGACTGAGGAAAAAGAACTCTATGCTCAGAATACTTCTTAAATCAAAATCTGCTTCTGTTGCTTTTGCTTTGTGCAGTATGAAGGGAGGCTTTGTGTCACCTTCTAATGAATCATTTTCATTAAGATCATTTTCATTTAAATTAAAAATTTAATTATGATCAGCTGAAGAGGTAGGCTTAAAATCAGAAAGGTGCCTACTTTTGGGTTTTCATCCTGAAAAGCAAATGATGCCACCTCACAATGTTTCCTACTATTCATTCCAATACTCCAACTCTTTTTAAGAAGTGTCTATCTATCACTGCTGGTCATAGTAACAAAGCACTCAGCAGCCTTCCCTCAGAGCTAATGAATGTGTTCACAGCAGCAGCTTCAATGCAATCTATATGAGGGATGTTCCACATAAAAACAGACTTCCACTATTAAAATGTACATGAGCCTCACATTGCCACACATCATTCAGACGAATAATTATATACACTGTTCTGCCAAGAAAGTGTTTCACAAGGTCTAGTGAGGTATCAGACCTAGCTGCATTAAACATATTGGTATAAAGTTTGGTAAGCTAACAATTTTTGTGCTGTTTCTGATGTCTTTAGAATCCCACAATTATTAAGGTTGGAAAATATGTCTAAGAGCATCAAGCCAAATAGTCACCTTAGCACCACCACCACATTCACCATTAAACCATGGCCCCAAGTGCCACATCCAAACTTTTAACACTCCCAGGGATGGTGACTCCACTTCCTTGGGCATCATGTTCCAATGCTTGACAACCCTTGCAATGAAGGAATTTTTCCTAGTATCACACCTGAACCTCTCATGGCACAACTTGAGGCCATTTCCTCTTGATCTCCTACGCAATACAGGCAAATCAGCATCAACCAAAACAATGACAAAACACTGCAGTGCTTTATTTCTGAAATGGCAGCACAGCAGACATCAAAAATTCTCTGAAGATTCATATTGTTCTTAAGCTGGTTTAATAAATACACTGTACCAGAAATTGTGTTTGCAATGCTTGCCCCTGTGCATATGAAAAAAAAGAAAAAGCAGGCTACTGTCCTCAGATCAAAATACCTCATTCAGAACATACCTCCAATCAGAATTGATTTCTAGAAACCGAGAAACTCCCGTTTGCGCTGCAGCCACATCAATATGAACAGAGACATCTACATAAATAAAAAAACAATACAGTTTCAAAATTCTTCCAAGTACACTCTGATTAATAATAAATTAACAAAATAGTAACAAAGAAGATGCGCGTACCTAGTTTGAAGTAGTATTCAATACATGAAAAGATATACTGAAATTACGATTAGGTAAACGTACCTCAAGCCAGCTTTACATACCTGCTGTTGAAGGTACCAACTCATGCAACTTCTGAATTGCCACTCCTCCAGGATAATTGAAATGTGAAACATATAAAGACGTTCCTGAATAAGCAGCATTAAGTAGAAGATGCATTATAATAAAGAACGATCCAAGTTTGTACAGCCAGGATCTCCGGTAGTTATTCAGACTGTTGCGGAAGAGAAAAACAAGGAAGAATAAACTGTTATTTTCTTTCATACTGGTCACTGACTACTGTGACACAACTGCTACAGAAACTCCACTTCTATATAAGAAAGATTAATACAAATTTCATTAACCCTGTATGGCATGTATTTATTACCAATTTCTAGAAGATTAACTTCTAGTGACATTTAAATTAGAATATTCTCATTAATAAAGCAAAGAGAAACTTATCAATAAATCTAAGTATTTCCATGATTAAAAACTTCAGCTATGCATATATTCTCTTTAAAGGAAGTTAAACTCTGAACTTCAGTTTGTTTACTTAATATACCCAAACAGAACTATTTAGCTCCATGTTTCACAAGCCTCATCTGTGTATTAAACTATCTCCTGAGGTAAACTGTCTTAACAGCTCAGGAGTACACTGGAATGTGTCTTTTTTTCTGGTAAATAAGCTGCATTGTAACAATGTAACAGTAAAATTAGGGCACTATTCTCAATTCTCCTCCAGACTTCTCAAATAGTCCCACCAAAGCATTTGACTTTTCTGTATTTCCATTTCTCTCTGCAGTCAAATGGGTACAAAGACCTCGAACTCCTTTCTACAGCATATGAATATTTCAATATGATCCAGAGTTCATGATGAAAAAAGTGCATAAAAATAGTACTAACAGTTTTCCTTTTGCATTTTCAGAGGAAAAAAACCCAGCAAACAGGATTTTGAACTTACATTCGTGAGCACATTTTAGCAGCCACTATGTTGAAAACAGGGAAAGTATAGATGATGAAACGCAGCTCTTTGTGTGGGAGAAACGAATACAAGAAAATAAAGCCCACTGCTGGCAGAAGTAAAATCCGAGTTCTCTTTTCTGTTACCCCTAAAGGTACAAATATTATGCTGCATCCCAAAGCACGAGGCAGGGCTGAATAGAAATACCACAAGAAGGGAGAAGTCTTCAAGGTGAAAAGAGTTAAGGATGCTTTCACTGCTAACAAGTAAAGTAACTATTCTTTACATTAGTACCCAAAAATTTTGCACATATGCAGTATACTTTTTGTATACACATTCTTCCAGCCTTTCATTTTCTGTCTCATCTTTGGAGAACTAAAAGCAGTTGCTTAATTACATTCACATTACCCAACAGAGACACATCAAATGGCACTAATGATGGGCAACATGAAACACCAAGAGGAAGAAACCTGGCTTTATATTGGTAGAATATAAAGAGGCTAGAAAAAAGTTAGGAAACTTACAATTTGCAGGAACACCTAAGGGTCAGACATTGTAAGTTTTAAATAATAAAAAGCAAAATCTAACACCCTGAGTCTCAGAAGTAAGTCACATCAACTCTGTGCTTTGGCTGGTAGTGTTCTTTTTCTCTGGATGTTTCAAAGGATACTCCCCAGTTGGAACTTTTATTTAAAACTGTGTTATACCAGAGCACTTTCCCCTCAGGCCACACAAGCTGCCTCCAAAATAGCGAATCCACAGCAACTGTTAGCCCTAAAAGAATTAAAGAGATACAAATCTGCATGAACTAAAAACCAGGGAAAAGCAAGCTAACACAACTGAAAAGCACATATACAGCATACTGAGACCAACACAGACTGAAACATGCATTGTAAGCCTCACCCAAAACCAAAGAGAAGGCTGAATATGTCTGTCATGCAGGGAAGGGAGGCACTTCTGAACAGAAGCCTTTAAAGAAGCATGTTAGACATTAATCCAATTGGGATTCATCCCACTCCAACCCCAGGTTTGAAAAAAAGGGGTTTAACTGAGGTTTGTTTTAGAAGAGTTTTAAGAGCATTAAATGTAATGAATGATAAGAAGCTCATGTTAACTTCAAAGAGTACTAAATAATTTTTTATTGTAAAGCTACAATTGTTTTTTAAGTTAAAAAAACAATCACAAAGTTTGCTACTATTCATTAGGTGAAGGGAGAATGAGAATAAGCGATGAAAGGCAAAAAGAAAGCAGCAAAACTGTCAGCTCTGTCTCCTCCACTCAGCTCTGTGAAAACTGCTCTAGTATTTAAGGATTTCGCTCAAATAGGAAACGGGAGTGCCAGTGGTTCATTCCCGTTGGACCTCCAAACTCGTACATGATGAGATGCCTCCAAATGCACCTGGCATAATTGTTCAGTGTTTCTGTTGTGCACTCTGTGCACGGGACAGCACGCTGCCAGGGGTCATCGCCACATATCTGACAACAGCATCTTTAATTCGGTAGGTTGGTGGAGCAGCTTAGAGTATTCATGTGCATATACACGAGGGTCCTCCATGGATGGGTAGAGACAAGGGAATTTTTCAACCTTTCCAGCATGGAGATCAATTAAGCTGTTAAATTTAATTTAATAATGGAATAGACCTGAACTGCAACTCTCCCCACAGCCCTCCTGCTTGGTATCGCTGTCTGTCACACAGTTGTGTTTTATCCTGGGACTCAGCTTATCACCAAGGCAATAGGTACTACAACTGATAACATGCACAAGTAGCTACAGGCAGGTATGAATTGTACTGAAGTCAACTTGTACATCTCAGCCTCTTTAAGATCAGGACATTATACTGGAAGCATCTAAAGACAAGAGGCCACAGTAGCTTTCTCTGCTCTGCACACATCTATTTCCTCACATAGAAATTTTCAAAGAAATAAAAAAATCTTGTCATATTATTAGCAAATTGAATGAAACTAAAACAATAACAACTCAAAACACCCCACTTACCCTCTCGCCACTGCCACCCCCCAAAAAAACCCCTTAAGGGCCATTCAACAGATACATCAGTCAAAACTTCAGACTTCTCTTGCACTTAATGTCATTTGCTTTCTTCCAAGCAAACACTTACCCAACCAAAACATTCCAGCAGGAACAGCTTGGGAAAGCACCTTGAAAATGGAGATTCTTTTAGTTAATAACGTCACCAGGAGCATGAGGCCTAAGAATATGCAGAGCTCTGATCTGAAGACTATAATCGCCAAAGCTGAGAACCAAATGAATGGCCTTTGCTTTTGCTGTATCCAAAATGTCAATGCCAGGAGCACTGCAAACAAACAAAAAAAACCCAAAAAACATCATCCAACATACTGAACTATTTTCTAAGGGGTAACACTTAATGCTATCTTCTTATTCCTCTAACATCCCACCAATCTTCTCTTGGTCTCCTAGCCCAGAAATTCTTCCTTTGTTAGAGAAATGTAATTTGGAATAATGCACAGCTTTATACTGTTGATGTTTAAGTAATTAGGAAAAGTATAACCACAGAAGGAACACATGGGAACTCTCTCTAGGCAGTATATTTAATAGCTATTGAGGGGGAAAAAAAGAAAAACAAACCTTAAGGGAGTACTAAAAGCTTCTCAAACTACGATTCATCATTATTTTTGCTCAATATCAGCTGGGTAGTTAAGTTTATTCTCTTGGCTAAGTATATACTAAATTCATGATAACACAAACCCATTTCAAACATATAAATGAGACTACAAACTACTGCTGAGGAAAGAAGATCTATAAATTCATTTACATTATTAGGTGGGACACACCATATCTCTACAGATGAAGTTGTCTCCAGTTTAAATCTCAACATAGTAAAGTGCTCAGGATCCTAAGGAAAACGTGAAATACTAAGGTACAAAATAATGAAACAATATTTTTTAATACACATAAATTATCGAGACATTACTAGACAGTTTATCTGACAATTAATCTGCTTTTGTTTCTCATTTCTCCTCTATGCAGGTTCTTACATCAACCTCACAATGTTATTAGCTGAACAATTTGCACTGAAGCATTTAGTGACTCAGTAAGTATCTATCACATGTGATTAATTTTCCTCTTCATCAGCTCTGGGGGAAAACTCTATATGTAGAGAAGGGTTTGATGTTGATTTTTTTTACTGTATGTATAGAAACTGCTGCATTTGTAGACAGCTTCAGAAGAGGAAGGTGAAGATGGTGCAGTTGGAATTGCTTCTACAATCCCATTTGAAAGTCCTTTCCTGTGCAGACCAAATTCACAGGGTTTTTTTGAACTGCAGATACACTTTATCCCTTTTCATAGCTCTATGCTTTATGCCTTAGACATGTGTACTCAAACCTCTAGCTAATCAAAGCCATCTGACAAAACCCACATGTACTCAAATTCAATAAAACTTGATCAAACAGTCCTGTAAGCATAGATGGTAAAAAGATAATGAAATCTCAAGCTTTCTAGTCTTGTTATCACACAATTTAATCAAGTAGATATGTCAATTTGGTCTGACCATACTTTTCTTGTGCTTTAACTACTGATATATTTGAAAAGAAGTTTTAAATTTTAAATTCGTTCCCATGAAATACCTACCAAATGGAAGTGCAAACACGTTAGGGAGGGTTCTTGTACAGTAAAACATCAAATGAAACTGAGTAACAGTGATGAGACAGAAGATTGATGCTGTAGTTGCTCCAAACTGTTTTCTAACTTCTTTCTGCAGCTTCCATAAGGTGTAAATCACACTGAGCCCCAAACTTCCTCGGACTATCAGGAGAATAAAAACGGCAATCAAAGATCCCTGATGAACAGCCATGTTATATAAGATTATATATATATTATATATATATAAGATTATACATTCTGAAGATTAACACTTAAGATTCCACAACATAACTACCTTCAAAGAAACAAAAAGCCAAACAAAATTCCACTTAGTTTATCTGTTCTAATCCACTTTTAACTTGTCTGGTAGTTCTGCACAAAGGTCAATGCTTCCACGTCAAAGTTAACAATCCTTTCTGAAGTGCACATGGGAGTGAGCACTGAAGAGACTTGAGACACTTGTTTTTTCTACACTGCCTAACATTTGTTAGCAGACTTTCTGTGTGCTGTTAGTTACTCCCCAAAGAGGGAGCTGAATGGCCATGCTGGCCCCAAGTACAGTATGGGTTTTCCTTCACTGACAAAAAGAATATCACAATTTAACCATTGATCCAAATGTAGCAACAATGCTTTAACTGGTGCTCTAATGGGTGACATCTCTGAGGATTTAAAGTTCTCATACCTATCAGCTGGGAATAAAACTTGGACATTCTTAGCACAGAAAGTATGTAGATAGCCGGGCTGGAAAGAGCAGCAATAAAAATTGGTCCAAGGAACGTTCTTGGGACAACTCCAGGAAATTCATGATGGTCATACTGCAAAAAGGAGAATCTACTTAAAATAAGCAAATTAGAAATAAGGGAAAATAAATCATATTCACACCACATTTATCCTACAGATACTGCAGGAAATTGCCATCTTTAACACTGTCCAAAAATGAAGACATTATTTTCAACTTACCTTATCCAAGTTCAGCTGGTGGTACACCACATCATGGATAGCTTGTAGGTTAAAGCTCTCCTCCACTTTTGTAAAAGGACAGACAGTTAAATGAACAAAGGCCACAGCAATCAGCAGCAGCAGCAATGGGAATGACCGCCCACTTGAGCTCCTCTTCTGAGCCATCTTGGATTTGAAATTCAGATATATTCTATCATTATTAAACAAAAAGTAAAAATAAATTACATAAATAACATGGCATGAAGTGTACAACCAGAAAAAAAGATTGATGATGCAAGGAAGTCAAAAATATATTCAGAAGCATTTCAGAATTTATGCCACCATCTGTAAATATAATTGTTTTAATTTTCACCTAAAAAACCTCAAGACAACATGGACCCTACCTAAGAAACTATCTCCCTTTACATTCCATACTGCTCCACTGCTGAGTGTCACCTCAGTTATGTCTGTAATTTTTGGGACAAATAGCTTTGTAATCTACCCTCACTTTAACTGCACACTGGATTCACAGATCACCTTTAGAACACACTCCCTTGTTTGTTCAGGGCTCCAAAAACAGTGGGACAGGATCCACGAGGACAAGAAATTCTTGAGAGCAGAGTAGTTTGATCTCGAGTTTGCCAGCAGCTCGGGCTGGACTTGGCCAGACAAGGACAAATCCCCTGTGGCACCCACATGTGTCACTATGGCAAGAGACAATCTGTACCCCATATTTCACACTTCTACCCAAAAATTAACGCACCCTCTCCCTAATGCTTCATTTCACAACTGCTGAGCCATTCTTATGGAAGTACTTATATTGTATTTTATCACTACAATAAAATCATGTGTCCAGGTGATGCCAGAGCAAATCTATTTCATGTTCTTTTCATTTCACCTTCCCAATTTTTTTAGGTTAAGAATTTAATAAAAGACAAGAGATTTAGGTTATTCTTGCTCTGTTCTCACAGAGGAAAGTTTCACAACCAGCACTTTTAAGGTACAACTGGGGTTTTTGGTTAGAGATGTTTTCTCCTCTGTTTTGGTCTAAATATGTCTATCAAGCAGATGTAAGATAGTTGGCAGATTTCCTGGGATCACTTAGCAACTGCCTCCTAGAGCTACCTTTTCCTGAACTGATGTTTGTGCTGCTCATTAGTAAAAAAATGAGTGAGCTCATGTTCCTCGTATTCACAATGAGCACCAATAAACCCTGAAATATGGGTACTTCCTGTAAATTGCATGTATCTGAATATTATTTTAAATACCTCCCTGACTGCATCTCTGATGATTGCTCTGATTGCTTCTGCTGCAGACTGTAACTAAAGCTCCAAGTCTGAGCTCAAAGACAGAGCCTTGTCAGGAGCCCAAACAGAACCTTCACCCCAGGAAGTGGGAATAGTCTTTTTAACCAGTGCCTATTATTACTCCTTTACAAGAATGGATAACCGTGGTTTATGCTACAACAGAATCCTTATCCCACAGGAGTAGGAAAACAGGTATGGGACTAACACCAAGTGTCCGGCAGGAATTAAGTCCCTGCACAGGGCCATTTATGTTGTACAAATTCTTGCTGAATTCTTCCAATAAATGCAGAAGAATCTCATTATTCTGGTCAAAGTTAACTGAAGAGAAAAATGGACACTGAAGGGTCAATGCACTGCTGAGCACGGCACTTGAGTAGCTCCTGCATCAGGTGAAACAGCACAGTGACCTGCAAGGTAGGTATTCCCGACTCCAAATCCACAGCTTCTTAACACTGCAGGTATTTTAGTACCCAATAAATCCTTATAAAAGAACCCAAGTGCCAAGACGCTCTATTTTTTTCCTTTTTAACTACATCATCTGCATAACAATGAGCTGTTACCATCACCTATAAATACTGCACTCATTATCCTCTGATCTACAACACAGCCTGCCCCTATCTTTAGCTGATAATCAGTCCCCAACTTCCTAAATTAGAATGGAAGTGAAGCTACGTAGCCCACACACAGTCTACCACAAGCCTTTTATTTTGCTTTTTCTTTTAACTTGTTGACTCCAATCCTTTTGTATGCCTGAAAAAAGTAAGCACGACAGCATACTTGTACATCTTGAAGATAATTATATGCATTATAGATATTGAAATTCCCTGAAGGGAAACATGCTAGAAGATAAAAAACCAAAGCATGAAGACAACACCCAACTTTCTGAGATAAAGCCTAATAAATTCAGTGGTCTTGTCAAGACTCAAGATAACTTGTTCTGTTGAAATTGATGCTGACAAGCATCAAAATTCAAGCAGAATTTATAAAGACAGGTAGACACTGAATTTGATGATTAAAATAAATTTGCTATACAAAAGCAAATACTTGCAATTACAGGGTTTTTTTATTTTTTTAAATGCCAAAACCACAGAAACAGCTTTTCACTTAATAAAAATAATTTAATAATGAAGCTTAGAGGGATAATCATATGCAATACACATAGGTTTGTCCATTGATTACATTCCGGCAACTTCAGAAGAATCCTCCTCAGGCCTTTACAACATAGCCACACTGACACCCCCCCAGGAACCTACATCAAGACTGGACCATAGAAGAACACAGAAGGGTCTTTAACACAAAGGATTCATCTTTTCCGGGATTAAACTGGGTGGGGAAAAATGTTTTTTTGCTGTTTTATACTTTTTCAATGGAAGTATCATTAGTTCATATAGATTTTTTACTCTCCCCGTGAAAAACCTACCATATTTAGCTCACTTACGTTTTCAGGTATGTTTCAGAAGAGCTGTGATAGAATTTGGCTGCTAAACTGCATGTTAGATCTGTCTACAGAGCCATGTCACTTCCCCACACGGAGGAATCTAAGCAGAACCACCAAGCGCACCCCAGCATAAGGTCTTCTTTCCCTCAGGCTTGATCTAGCTTTGGCAAAACGCATTTTGTATTATCTTAAATTCCCATGGCTTTTTTACTACATTTTAATAGCTCTTACAAGTTTGATCTAGAGTTAATACCTCCAAGAGGTCAGATTTAAACCTTTCAGTTGCTGGGATTGCTTTTTTTTCTTGTGTTAGGAAAAAACTGCAGCTACGATTCTTATATACACTTCCTCATGAGTTTTCAAGACTGGCTAAAAAAAAAAAAAAAAAAAAAAAAAAACCAAAAAAACCCCAAAAACAAACAAACAAAAAAAACCTAAGAAGGGGGGGAAAGCAGAAGAGAAGGTTGAGGCAGGAAATACAGTGTGGAACGCTACCAGACCAAAGATACGACGGAGCGACAGAGAAAGAAACGGCACTCTTGGGGCTGGGGAAGAAACATGCAGAATGCTCTCGACTGAAACCTACCCAAATCCAGCCCGACCACCCTCCCCGCGCCCCCCTCGTTCCCGGGCGCCCAGCAGGGACACCCGGACCCCCACCCGTCCATCCCGGCCGCGGCAGCGCCGCAGGAGCGCGCCGGGCGGGTGTGCAGCGCTGCCCGTGTCAGGTCGCTCCTGTGAGGGGCTGCATGAGGGCTTCGGGCCGACACCGAACACCGCCCGCCGCTCCCGCAGCCGCCGGCGCCGCCCCGAGGCCGCCAGGCTCCCGCGGCAGCGGCAGGCACCGCGCCCCGCGCACACCCTCAGGAGGCGCCCGCCCTGCCCCTGCCCTGCCCGGCCGCACTCCCTCCCGCCCCGCCACAGCTCCCGCGCCCGGGAGGCGGAGAGCTGGGGCGGCCGCCTAGCAGCGCCCAGCGGGGCTCCCGGGAACGCCCTCTGGCCCGGCTGCAGCGAAGGCACGGGCATGTGGCGGCTATCCCGCTCGGCCGCTGTCTCATCCATCCCTGCCTCCCCGCCCGCCCCGCCGGCCCGGGCAGCGCCCGCCGCCGCTCCCGCACTCACCGCGCGCGCGCCCACGTGGCCGCCCCGCAGAGGGCGCCGGCAGCGCGGGAGCGACGGAGGCAGCGCCAGCCCCGCGAGCACGTGACTGCCTCCCCCGCCGGCCATATTGGGTGAGGGCAGGGCACGCCCCCGGCAGCAGAAGGTCTCGGAGGCAGTTGCCAAATGCAAATGGCGGGCGGCTCTGAAGCCCATACGGAGCCGGTGCTTGCCCTTTCTCATGATGGCAGCGGGGCTCGCTCCAACAGCTCTGCCCCACCCCCCCCCCGCCCAGCTCTGGGCACGCGGGGGGCTCCCATTGGTCCGGAGCGTGGCGGGCGCTGATTGGACCACGTCCCTTCGCTCCGCCGCCTCGACCAACGAGCGCCCGCGGCCGGTGCGCGCGTGGGGCTGACGCGGAAATCTGAATGGAGCTCGCGGGCCGGCGGGGCCGGGGCGGGGCCAGCGCGGCCCCCGCTGCTGAGGGGGCTCGGCTGGGGCGGCCCCGCTGCGCGTCCCGGGGTCCCGCGCCCTCGCCATGGGGCCCGGCCCCTCTCCGCCACCGGGCCCCGCGCCACGACCGTCTCGCGTGGCCTTGGCCGTGCTGCTCTGTGCCGCCCTGTTGCTGTCGGTGCCTGTGAGCGGCGCCGGTGAGCGGCGGCGCTTGGCGTGCTCCACCTGCCGGGGCATCGTGGACAGGTTCAACCAGGTGGGCCGCGGGGTGCGGGCGGGCGGCCCCGGGTGGGTCAGGGGTTCGCGGGGCTCCCGGCGGGGTCGAGCCGCGGCGTGGGCGGCTCCGTGCCTGCGGCGGCGAGAGGCATTGCCGGCCCCGTGGCCGGGCAGCGCGGCTCCGGCCGGCTCCGTGCCCAGAGGCCGCGCTACGGGAGCGCCTCCGCCGGAGCCGCGTTCCGGGCGGCGCCCGGCCCTGTGATGGAGCAGCGGCGGGTCCCGCTCCGGCAGCGCTCGCAGTGCTGAGGCGGGTGTGTGGCAGAGCTCCTCCATCTCTGCTGCCAAAGGGGTTTTGGTGCTTTTTGTGTGGAAAGGCTGGCTGCGTTGCAGCGTGTTCAGCTCCGTGGGAAGTGCTGGTGGAAAGCTTCGTCCGCAAACACTCGCTGTCTGTTGCCACTTGCAGCAGCTTTACGTGTGGCTCACTAAATTCTGCGCCGGCAGCGAGGGGCTGCTGCTCCTGGTGAGCAGTGCTTTGTGCTCTCCTTACGCGTATCGGCTGCTGCAGGCTCGCCAGGTCGCTTCAAATGCGGGGTTTTCTGCCAGGTGTCGTGTGGTGGCATCGGCTGTGGCTGGGGACAGCTGTGCTGATCGCCCAGCTGTACGGTTGTGTGCTGCACGTACAACTTGGTGCAGACCGGGCTGTTACCAAAACTGAATGAAGTAGAGGTCACCTGTTCAAATAACTTTCCTGAGAACTTGAGAGAGAAGGGTGTAAAGTTTCATATACGCATGGGACTTTTTTTTGTAAATCAAGACTGTAACATGTCCTTGTGTATGCATTAGGAAAATATAATCGTGTTATGCTGTAACACACACTTTCTCACTTTTTGTGTTGTCATTAGCTGTTGCTTTCACTCGGAAATTTGATCAGCAGCTTGAGAGCTCTACTGTAGTTTATGCATGGCACTTTTCATAATTTCTATGTAAGTATTTGTTATTTCCTTTATTTTTGTTAAAAACAAACCCTATGTAATTCCTGGTGATTTTTATTTGTAGGGTTTAGCAGATACAGCTAAAAAAAACTTTGGTGGTGGAAACACTGCTTGGGAAGAGAAGACGCTGTCAAAGTATGAGTCCAGGTGAGCTGTCTCTGTACTTCTCATTCAACTGCATTTTGTGTTCACTGTGTGTAACTTCACAATAACAGTGTTTGTTTGGAACTTCAATATTGAACTTGGCAGCTAAGGTTTGTCTTGTCCAAACCTTAAATTCTTAATGATGTTACATAACATTGTAATCTCAAGATTATAGTAAAGACTCAAACGCCTTATTATTGCCCCTGTTCGCCTTCTGTTTCTGAAAACAACAAAAATTAATTCTGTTATTAGTCATAGCAGTTGTTTTTTTATCTATTTACCTATTCAAGTCTTAAAATAATGAATCTAAATAATGGTCAATACTTTATTGCTAGTCATAAAAGGTACAGAGTACTGAAGTGCTTGATTTAGAATTAAAGCAGCGTCTTCTCCCTAGAGTTGTCACTGTTTCAGTGCCAAAGAGAAGGCAGATTACTCTACATATATCTGGTTAACCATGGAGAAAAGTAACCTGATACCTTTCTCCTGCATTTCAAAGTCACTTTTTTATCTTAGTTGGAGCACGGAGATGTTGCTGTGAGGTTCACAGGCTTGTGTCAAATAAAAATACATTAAATTTATTGTTGATTAAAGTACTGCCCTCCAACTTTCTGGGAAGCTAAAAATCTATTAAATCTGCAATCTAGAAATATAGTAAATGCAAGCAAGTCACAACATTCTTGTGGTCATTATTCTGGGTCTGGGTTTCTTTTTTGACTGAAGTAATGTTTATTAGTTCTTTACTCTGATGTTTTGAAACTAATTCAAGGCACCCCATAAACTGATGAAATATTCTTACTGAAGTCTGGCTGCTCTGTGAGGTCTTGAGTTGTATGGAAAATTTAAATTAAATTACCATTTTCCTTCTCTGCTTGTAGTGAAATTCGTCTTGTAGAGATCATAGAGAATCTGTGTGACAGTAGTAACTTCGAATGTAACAACATGGTAGAAGAACATGAAGAACTTATAGAGAAATGGTGGTTCAAACTGTAAGTATATTTTCTTGGTGGAGATCTTTGTGTGAATAAATTATCTAAGAGGATGAATTAATAATGTTAAATCTTGCACCTGAACAATAGCAGTATGGGTAATAATTAATTGTCTTTCAAGAGTTGCCATTGGGTACAGCTGGTTTCAGGCTAACTTTTAGTGCCATGTGCTGCTGTACTCTGTTCTTTTTGATTTTCAATTCCAGCAGTGTTGCACCAATGCATCTACACTTGTTTCTTATACATTGTCTGCTTAGTTACCAGTAGGATATCAAGGCAAACTAACTTTGGAAAATTTTGAAGTTTAGTCCCTTACGTTTTCCTTTGTCACAAAACTACAAAGGGCTCTTTAGTTCTTGTGGGTTTTTTGTTTGCTTGCTTTTTCCCCTGAAACTACATTTTGTTCTCCTAGCAATCAAAAGAATAGTTGGTGCTAATCAGAGTAGAAGTTGAATCTCTTGCAGATGGTAGAGTAACAGCTGACTTTTCTACCTGCAATTTAAACTAAACTGGGATTTGTGTTATAGCTAAGCTTTTTGTATACCAGTCTTAAATATAATTAGTGCATGGATGGCAGTGTAACATTTACATTTCTTAATGTTTGGGTTTTTTAGTTCCAAATCACATTTCTTCTAAGTATTTTTCACTAATTTAGTCTGTCAGCACTCCTAATTAGATAGAATTCAATAGGGTGAGCTGCCATTGTAATGTTTTGTAACTTGATAAGGCTTTTTGATCCTCTACTTTCTTCTAAGTGAGTGCTTTATCCTTTTACCTAACTGTACAGGACTGTACATATGTTAACACATTGTGAAGGGAATAGAGTAGAATAGCAGAGCAGAAAATAGAATATTTCAATTGGAAGGAACCTAAAATGATCACTTAGTCCCACTTCCTGACTGCTTCAGGGCTGATGAAAACTTAAAGCTTGTTGTTAAGGTCATTGTCCAGACACTTCTAAAACACTGATAGGCTTGGGGCCTGTACCACCTCTCTGGGAAACCTGTGCCAGTGTTTGATCGCCCTCTTGGTAAAGAAATGTTTCCTGATGTCCAGTCTAAACCTCTCCTGGTGCAGCCTTGAGCCCCACCCTTGTGTCCTGTCATTAAATACGACAGAGATTGGCACCTCCTTCTCCCCTTTCCCTCTTCAGGAAGCTGCAGAGGGCAATGAGGCCGCCCCCTCCACTTCCTTCTAGACAAGCACAGAGTCCTTAGGTGCTCCTCATAGGACATGCCTTCCAGAAAGGTAAACTGCGCAATTCAGAGTCTTTAATTTGGCTAAAATTTGCAGAACTAGTCTTAACTAGAAAATTTGGCATAGTAAACTTCCTAAAATAATCAAAACAATTAATAAAATACATGGAATTTTGGAAAGTTTCTGTATTTAATAAACCTTTTGAGTGCATGCAATTGATTGTTTGCCTTCCTTTCTTTAACCTGCAGTATCCAAATGTCATCCAGTTTCTGTGGTAATTTCCAAAGACAGTTTCTTTGCCCATTAATACCTTAAGCATTTTTTACAAGTTGTTGCATAAAGGGTGATCGATCGCTGGAACAGGTTCCCCACAGCAGCAGGCCTGTTCAGGTATCATCTGGAGGACACTCTTGCTCACATACTTTAGTGTAGGAAGTCCTGTGAGGAGCAGGGAGCTGGACTCAATTGGGGTTGTATGCTGGTGCTCCAGTAGCACATAACTAACTTCTTAATTTTAAAAATGTGTTCTAAAATAATACTCGATCAATGCTAAAAAAAAAAGAGAAATTTCAACCCAATCATCAGTAGATAATAATTTGAACAAATGTTAACATCTCTTCCAGGCTATCTTCTGTATAGTTGAGATAAAGATACAGCAAGTATCTATAAGAGAAAAACATAATTAAGACAGTCTAAACTGTATCTAAACCTTCCTTAAAAGTAAGGTGTTTAAAAAAAGGTGTGTGTGCATGTATGAGGAAGAATTGATTTTTTGTTGCTCTTATTTCACATTTTTCCTAAATATAATTTATAAAATTTGAGTAGAGCTTGTTAATAGTATTGTATTTTAGAGGGTACATTTTACAATTGGAGGACTTCTTCTAGACATTGATTCCTGAAATCTTCAGAAGAATTAGGTTTCTAATCTGTCATGTGCAATAGGTTTCTCTCTTGTGTTGTGCTGGGTCAGTTGTGTGAGCTGGCTTTTAAAGAATCTTTGTTCTTTTTGTTTGTAAATGTTTTTCATATACAGAAAGAAGAAGTATCCAGATTTGTTTAAGTGGTTTTGCATTGAAACAATAGAAGTTTGCTGCCCTGCTGGAACTTATGGACCCGATTGCCTTGGTAATTTTCTTTTGAAAAATTCAGTAGCAGATACAGTTTTTTTACCTGTTTGTTTCTGTCTTTACTGTCACAGACAAATACATGATGTATGATATTTTGCATGAGACAGAGGCTGCTGTGTAGTATGTACCTGCTTGCTGCCTCATAGTTGAGTGACTGCCCTGTGAATATTCTGCCTGAAAAAAGTCTTCTGGGCATGTAGTAATGTACTGAGCTGTCAAGGGTACCAAGATGTGCAGAAACAATCAATCTGATGCTAATATCCACACCTGATCCATCCTTAATGGCTCTCTGTAACATGAAGTCTGTTGTTCAGGTGACCTTGCAGAATCTGTGTAGACAAGAATCTTGACCAGTTTCAAGAGTAAAACAACACAAATGCTGCTGGGATTTTAAATGAAGAAACTTGCAACTGAGGATCAGTTAAAAAGGCAATGACAAAAATTGGGTAAAAGTAGGTGGGAGGTGAAAGTAAGGTCTTTGCAAAAGTGATGAGAGAGATCTTGGCCTCTGAAGCTGGTAAAATTTATGAATCTCTAAAACTTCACGCCTTATTAAGAGATCGATTTTGTCCACTTAATATATTGGTAAAAATTTAGTCCCCATTCCCTATATTGATCTAAATGATAGCTGGTTGATTTTTTACAAATGTAATGTGAGCCTTCTCAGAGATACAGAAAAAAATAAAGATACCAATTTAGTCCAGGAAGCTAGGAAAATAAATAAAATTTTGAACCATGGTCTTTACTCAAAATCAAATTGATAACTAAACTTTCCTGTAGATTGCTTTGAGTTTCCCTTATACTTGAATATATTATTAAGCATTGCCTTATTGCAAAACTTTTAGTTACTCTCAAGGGTGAAAAAGATTCTTGGAAATTATATCCTACTTTTTTTGTGACTTTTGTGACAATTTAAAATTAATTTTTATTTTCTGTGAAGAGGGAGGGACTCTGGGTGCTTATGTCTGAGAGTAGAAAGTTATTTCCTTAAACATCTGATTTAAAAATATTTTTGATCCTTTTTTAGCTTGTCATGGTGGATCAGAAAGACCTTGCCATGGAAATGGCCACTGTGATGGTGATGGTACCCGAGGTGGAGATGGCTCATGTAGCTGTAAGAAGGAGTACACAGGACAGTTTTGTTTGGACTGTTCTAGTGGTTACTTCAGTTCCTTGAGAAACGAGACTCATTCTGTTTGTACAGGTAACAAGGTCTTAACACATGCTTATATCTTTGTGTTACTTCTTCAATATTTGCAAGGAAAACTAGAAGCATTTGAAACTAACAAATGTAGAAACAAAACACAGTTTGCTCAGCTTTAAGCATAAAAGACATGTCAGTCACTTTACTGGAATTCTAAGATTTTGCTAAGTCATCTTCCACACTGCCCTTGATTTTTAAATTGTTTTTTTCTGTTTTAAGAAGAAGAATTCTTAAAAATCTTTGCTTCTCTGCTTCCAAAGTACTGTTAAAATCTTGAGCTGAAATTACTACATACTGGACTGCTTTAAAAGCTAGGTTTTCCTCATGTCTCAGATAAGCTTAAATGGAATAAATGGAAGCAGTTGATATGTACTGCAAAGTACTTAGATTCCAGTTAGATATGCCTAAGTTTAATTTTGAAACACAGTCAGGTCATAGGAATAAAATTTTGCATTGGTCCGATTTTCAATTCTTCTTGGAACCTTGATGAAATTCTGCAAGAGCTGCTTTCTGTCCATGAGGTCTAATAAGATTATTTTAAAATAGTCTATATTGTTGTCTATATTTGGTTTTTGTTGTTGTTGGTTTTTTTTTTTTTTTTTAAATATAGTCTATATTTGTTATTTTAGTAAAAAATTATAGTCTATATTTGGGGTTTTTTTTAAATGTGATTTTGGAGAAATTCTTCTCTATGATTTGTTTTATATGACAATATATAGCATACAAATGTTACATAGGGTGTGTTCTATATGCGTGTTATATATATGTATACAATATTCATGTACAGCTGGATTTCTAGTATAGTTCCTTCTGAATTCTTCAGAGTTAAATCACGTCACACATTGCTGTCATAGCTACTTGCAGATGTAAACTGTGTGAGGATTCATTAGGTAGATTCATTAGTTTCAGAGTCTGATGTTGAAACTCATGTCCCTTGTGGGACTGAGCTAAGTTTGACTTCCTGATCTCCTCTTTCCAAATATTTTAGAAATTGGACCTGCCACTTCTAGTCACTAGAATTTCGTGGCAGTGTTTTCAGTGGTGCAAATAACTGCAATTGCTAGGTTTGGTTTCTGGTGGTATTTTGGGATATTGCAGTTGTTTTGGTCAGATAGCTGCATGTTTGTTTCTAAATTAAACCTTGGTCTTATGGAGGTGCTGTCTTGTGAATGGGAGTTTCAAGCTACTAAAAAATGATGGCTTCCACTGAATCCTAAATAAAGTTTTCTCTGAGAGTTTATGTGCCCGAACTTGTCTTGGGATCTCTCAACAAAACTCAGGTTGAAGTTTTCTCCTCTCAGCCTGCCATGCTGCCTGTAAGACATGTACTGGTTCAAGTAACATGGACTGCCAGGATTGTAAAGAAGGCTGGATTAAAAATGAAGATGGAGCTTGTGTGGGTGAGTAATGCTTGGCAGACTTCAAATGGGTTTTGTAGTTACACTGGCTAGTAAAGATTAGATGGCATCCCTTCCAAGTTTTATTGTATTTTATGGAAATGATCTGTCAGTTTAGATTTCTACAGTTTTATTAGTCTCTCTCTTCCTAACTTACTTCATGTTGCAGGAAAGCAGTATTTTCTCACCACTGATTGCCTGGTGATGATAGTTACCTTTATCATACTGTTCTGTATGTCTATTTAGTTTAATGGGATTCATAGAGCAGCATTCATAGAGCATAGAGCACCTTCTTTTTAGGCATGAGTTTTCTTGGTGTTTATTTGTGTGCTAAACAATGTCCTGCTCTTGACTTAAGCTATTTGTCAATTAGTAGAAGATTCATATAAACTTAACTACATATTTTGTACTAATTGCACATTTACCTTCACATAACTTTGTCATAAATGCTCAACCCTAGTAGAGTTCAAACACTTCACTGAAAGCCACGCATGCTGACTTTTCCTGTTGTTGGACAGGAATACCAGGAGACATCAAGATCAGTGCTTCCATTAATTTTTTACCTGTTCTATCTTAGCATTTAAGTTGGTTTACGAGGAGATAAGTGTGAGATATTTCAGGAAAAATGCAAACATAAAAATCCTCCCAACGCAGGAATGCACTAGGGGAGAGTAACATGTTCTGTTTAAGTGGTTGAATTTGACCCTTTAAAGACCTCTAACATAATGCCCGGAAACAGAGTCTTAGACATTATGTGAACACTGCTTCCTTTTCAAAGTGCAAGTGAGAATTGGTTTTGAATTACAGCTCTTGCAATACCTGCTTAGGCAGCTACTGAGCACTCCCAGGGCATTTTTAAGATGCTTTGGTACTCTCTTCTGTACGGCTGAGTTTTTTTCCAGATAGTTATTGCCACTAATGATTTATAAATCAATTCAGTAATCAGTAGGAATGATAGGTACAGCAACAGGAGGAGAGTGACAGCAATGACAGGAGAGGGACTGAAATAGCCTTTCTTTGTTTGAATTTTTTAATGAAATACTGTTGCACCCTTTCCTCAAAATCATAAGACTTGAATGTTTTAACTCTGCAGTAGAATAGGTTTTCCACTTGACTCATCCTAATCATGACTTGGTTTGTTCCCATTTGCTTTCTGCGGAATACTAAGAGGTGCATGTATGTGCAGTAGTATAGTTTTCTAGTCATATAAAAAGCTCTGTGACTTGGTAATGTAGGAGTACAGGAGAAAATAGTGTTCCAGAGCAATAGTGTGTCTGCTTGTTTGTTATGATATCTGCATAAATGCATGGCTTGAAAATGGCAGGGATTGCAGGTATCCTGGAAGTTTATTTAATTTGACCACTTGAATTTCTGATAGGTCTCTTATTGTCATCACAAAGTATATGAGGATCGGTTTTGATTTTTTAATACCAGTTCAAGCTGAACAAAACAGCGTTTGTTACCATGCTAGTTCTCTGTCTACCATGTTGCATACCTGACCCCAAACTCATTGCAACAACTATTCTCAATGCAGTCAGTTTATATCATTCAAGTATTAATCTGTCTATTTAATCATAACTACTATTTTAGGTAACTTGTCACTTTTTATCTTTCAGATTTAGATGAATGTGCTGCTTCTCCTTGCAAAGATCACCAGTATTGTTTGAACACAGATGGATCTTTCTCATGCAAAGGTTTCTTTTCTTCTTTCAATCTTCTGTTCTATTGTACTGTATAGAATCCTTAACTAATGCCAGAGGTAATGCTTAGAAAATGCCTGATAGGTATTTGGTACAGTGTGGTCTGATCCTCACTGGGCACGGGATGAGGCTTTCGACCCATTGTATGAGCAAAACAAGAGATTTCTGGTTATTTCCACTTGGCCTTTGTGAGACCCTCCAGCTGTAGGGCCTCCAACATAAGGCAGGCGTGGACCTGCCTGAGTGGATCCAGAGGACAGCTGTGAAAATCTTGATCAAGAGGGTCACCTCCCCTATGAGGACAGGCTGAGAGAGCTGGCATTGTCCTTTCTTAACAAGAGAAGGCTCCAGAGCCTTTCAGTACCTAAAGAGACTTAAAACAAATGTGCAGAAGGACTTCTTACAAGGGCATGTAGTGGACAAGACAAGGGGGAATGGATTCACGCTGAAACAGATTAGATTATATATTAGGAAGAAAATCTTTACTATGAGGGTGTTGAGGCACTGGACCTTAGAAGTTATGAATGCCCTGTCCCTGGATGTGTTCAAAGACCAGTTGGATGGAACTCTGAGCTAGCTGGTCTAGTGAAAGGCATCCAACCTATGTCAGGGGGAGTTGGAGCTGGATGATCTTTAAGGTCAACTTCCAGCCCAAGCCATTCTATGATTCCTTGTGTGGGTAAGCTGTCTGACTTTAAGGGTAGTATTTTAAACCCCAGATACATTATTTTTTTATGCATGAAATATTTTATCTTTAGCATGTGATGCCAGCTGTGTAGGTTGCACAGGAGAAGGTTCTGGAAAATGTAAGACCTGCGCATCTGGATACGTGAAGGAAGATGAGAAGTGTACAGGTTGGTGGATTTAGCAGCACCTGGTAGAATGCTGGTTAGCTCACTCTTGGTTAGCCATGCTGAGGAGCTCATAAGTGCATTCACATTTGTGTGCTTCAGCTTTCATGCCTGTCAAAGTGAACCCATCGTTCTGATATTAGCTGCAAAGTCATTCTCAATAAATTACTTTATATTACTGAGCTGATATGCTTGCCAAGACTTAAAGTGAATCACTGGTACGAAGGAACGAGGTATTTTATAGTAGCTTCAGGAAACATGAGTCTTTTGTCGGTTACTTACCACTTCATCAGATCTGTGTTTCTATTCATTTTGTAGCAGAAAGGCAGGCATTGTGATAATCCATCAATGTCCAAGTTTAAATGATATTCCTTCTTAGTGAATTATAACGTGAAATTAGACTTCCTCTGTGGGAAAGAACAAGACATGTGCATAATCTGAAGTAGCTGTTAACTGTGATGTTGTAGTATTTACAAGCACTGTTCCCTTTAGCTATACTTTGATGGCATAAATAGAAAATGACTTTGGAGGAAATGTTCTGTAGGTTAAGATGAATTGCCTAATTGTGACAAACATAACAACTTAATACATTTCTCCGTACAGGGACTTGCAAAACATTAAAAAACAACAGTACTCAGTGTTATACAAATAACTTTGAAATAGTCCAAATCATGAAGAATTAGATTATTTTAACAGATGTTACATCTGTTGCCGCAGCATTCTGCTCCTCAGTGTTTTTCATATTTGAATAGAATTTTGTTTATATGACTGAGCACAAATAAGGTTCATAACAAAATAACAGCAGTGGACTCTTTCTTTCCTTGTGCTGTGCCTAGATATAGATGAATGTAACCTTCCTGAAAAGGTCTGCACGAAAGAGAATCAAGACTGTGTTAATACATCAGGTAGTTACAAGTGTGTATGTTCAGAAGGGTTTGAAGAGAAGGATGGAACATGTGTTCAAACTGTAAAACCAGGTAAGTAGCTTTTCAGGGACAATTTAAAAAAAAATATGCTGTATCAGCAACTTGGAGTTTTATGTAAGTCTAAGGGTCTAGTAACTTGTAAATCCCTCTATAGTATTTTTCATCTTCACACAGCTGTGGTCTATATCAATAGTTTTATAGTGTAGGCCAGACTGATGTGTGTTTTTTTGCTTAAACATAGTTTATGTTTTTAAACATTCTGTTCTTGTGTTGCTGCATTTTTGCTTAACTCAAGATTGTGTTTTTAAGTCACTTAAGGATTTGCTTTTGTTACATAAAATGAGCTAGCAAATTTCTGCTGTCATAAAAATGAGTTTGTCCTCCCCAGTTCTTTCCTTTATCATTAATTGTAGTGACTTAAGGGTTTATCTGATTGCATGCAATCTTCAGCTCATTGGAATCTCTGAAAATTACAAATTCAAAAAAGAATTACAAATTCTTTTTGCTGGATAAAAAAGCTGAATTTGTTTATTTTGTTATCATGTAAGTGCCAGAGCTGGTGTTAAGATGAAAATGGGGAAGACATCTGTATCTGTCAGTCATAGGGAACTGTTCAGCTTCACTTATATTACAACTTCCGTCAAAAAATTAAGCTATCATTTTTTCTAGGATGTGGTGACCCAAATGGACAGAACTACATTCATTAAATGTTCCATTACTCTGTCTAGGTCTCTTTTACAATTCCAAAGAGAAAAATTGGTTTATTTTTCAATAACAGCTGTAGGAGAATAGATGAGAGACACCTAATTTCATACCTCTTCTTTCTGCTTCTTAGTTTGTGTGGGTGATTTTTTTGTCCTCCCATTTCCATCTCCAAGACTGATTTTTTCATCTTGTACTAAAAAGTTGTAATGATGGATGTTGTTTGCTGCTCAAGGCCACTCAGTTCATTCCTTTTACTCTCAGTGCTCTCTGTTATTAGTCCTATAGAACCAGTTTCATTCTTCTCTGATACAGATATGCAGGGTATCAGTTACTACCTTTGCTAATGTGGTCTAACATTTTGAGACTAAAAGTAAAATAAAAGGTTGACAAATTGGCTTCGGTTTTTTTTTGTTTAGATAATGCTTTTCCCAATATAATAAAATTGCTCTGCTTTTTTAAAAGTGGTTTTAACATCTGAACTGAGCAGTTTGTACTACAAAAACAATTCCGAATAAGAGTTGCCCTACTTTTTCAAATACCTAAACTGCTACTGACAGGTTGTGTGGAAAGGAGGAAATTCACTGTGAATAGCTGAAAACAAAAGCCTAGCATAGAATTGCCTGTGCTTTTTTTTTTTTTTTCCTTCCACTAATAGTATAATACCAATTTATTTGAAAAATTTTGTTTGCCTATAGTAAAAAAAAATAAATAGACGTTTAGGTTAGGAGAATGGTGCAAGTAGGTGTTATATGTGGCTTATATTAACAATAAGTTAATTGTTTCTCTGGTCTTGATAAATATGTTGATTTGGGTTTCTCTTTTAAAAAATTCCTAATTTCAAAAATCACAGTTTTATATATATATATATATATATATATATATATAATTAATTATATATGTATAGTTGATAGTAGATTTGTATTCTAACTGTGCTATTTAACTTCACAGGAGAGGAAGTAGAGAGTGTAACAACTGAGCCTCCACATACTGAACATGTTGACTTATGATCTGCATTCAGAACCAAAAGACATTCCTATCTAAAGATTTAAATTATTGGACTAAGCCTCTGCTAGCTGACATACTGTGGAAGTGGTATGAAATATGCAGGTTGCCATTAAGACTTTTTTTCAATGGTGACAACCTGCCCTTTAAGCTGCATTTCTTTATTCTTAAATCCCACTTTTTATATAATTCTTCAAAAACAACGTTCTAGATGGGTTAGTATAAAATTTGAATGAGTATAACACTGTACCCAGCAACTGTAAACAACTTGCAGGCTTCTTATTCTAGTGCCTACTGAAAGCTGTTATCTTCTGGAAGAATTTAGTTGCACTTCATAATTCAAGGAAAATTTAGACTGAAGTTTGTTGTTTATAATCATGAGAAATATTTCTGTAATTGAAATACAACTTTTGGAAATTGTCAAAGGGAATCTCTGTGGGGGGAGGGAAGCACTGTTCCCTTAAACAAAATAGAATGCCTAATATTGCATTCAATAAAAGTGTATTTTGTTGGAATGTGCCTTAAAATTTTTAAGATGTTAATACCTTGATGTGTTGTCATGCCTATTTTTCTTTTAAGTCAGTGAAAACAACCCAATACCACAAAAACAACCCAAACAACCTTCAAAAAACCAAAATCCCAGAACCTTGTAAACTGTATTTCGGTTCAGCACTGAATTCAAGCACTCTGTTTTATTGGAATATACATGAAATAACTTCCTCTGTGTTGTCTCTAAGCTTGAAGGCAAGTATAAGAGCTAAAATGGATGTATCCTATAGGACTGTCACAGCTGTAAATAAAATAAGGACCATCCAGATGCAGTCCCTGGTGGAACTGAGTGAAGTTTAGAATACATTGTGATAGTGGATACAAGGGGTAGTAGAATACAGCTAAGAGCACAGTTTAGGCTTGACTATGAAGAAGTTACAAACTTTGAGGTAAGGGAACATATAAAGGCTATTTATAGGATTGACCTATTCTGTTGAGCAGTAAAGATCAGACATCTATATATTTCTGAAGACTTTTGTTCAAGCTAAATCTCAGTTCAGTTTGTGAACAGTGCATGGAGGATAGATGTGTGTCTGATATGTGTGATAGACACCTAGGTGAATATTGTACAAAATCTGATTATGTTGGATTCTTATGTTAAAAGCTGTCTAAGCTGATTTTGTGTATGGTAGTTTAAATACCTAGTGGTATTAAGGTATCTGTAACAGTTTTCTTTAACTGTTCTATCTAGATGTTTCTTAACTTGCCAGTCAGAGTATGAAATCTTCAGTGCTTTCTCAGCGGTAATTGTCAAAGATGGGCCTATTTGCCAAAAAATCTTGCAAGTTCAAGGGTAGGCATTGTATTTAATGAATACTAAATCAAAGGGAGGAAAAAGTAGGCAGTTTGGGAAGCACATGGAATACAACTCAAGGATCGTTAGGGTTTTTTAGTACAGGTGTAGCCAGTTACAGTAGTATTAGCCCCTAAGGATCCTGCAGGAGTATAGCTTGTCTGTTACTCACATTTAACTCCCAGGTGTTGCAGGTTGTGGTATGAATGGTCGTTAATCATAACAGGAAATATTGGTTTAGAAACTGCCATCAGCTCACACGCAAGGGAATTGTCTGTCCAATACAAACTCTTCTATTAGAGTTCCAAGCCTGAAATAATGCTTCCATATGAAGAACTTGCTACTCCTAAGTACCTTTCAACTTACTTGGGACTCTGGGGGATACCTAATGAGATTGTTAACTACATTGTGGAAGCATTTGCTTCCCACCTGCCAAGGCTTTGGACAGAAAGCCTTAACTAAATTGTCTTTCTTAAGCCCAACTCTGAGATGAACTGATAAAAACCAAAAATTTCAAAATTTTGTTTTTCTGTGGTGATAAAGAGGAGAAATTCTTCCTTGGCTGACTTGCAGAAGTAATGAGTAGTCTGATACAACCAGGCTGTTTTTCTGTTCTGTAGAAAAGTGCTTTCAGCTTTGCATTACCAGAGTAGAACCATTAATCAGAGTGTTGTTCCCTACAAAACATACAGATATAGTACCTGGGTATTAGGAGTCACTAATATTCTAGTTTCCTTAATTCTCCCATTCTCTCACCAAATATAGGCACATGTTGCTCTGCATTAAATTATTGTGGGGTCCAGAATGGTGAATTCAAATATTTAAGAGTTTTCACTGAAGGAAGATAGGCCAAGGTATTTATGTGATAAATATTTAGTACTATGCTGCTGTCTTCTGCCCTTTTGATGCTGAGCTTTGAAAGAGTTAGTTCCCTTGTTTTGTTCTGTGTTTAACTTTTACTTCTTCAAACTGTAATTACTACTCCATTTTAGAAGTTGAAACAATTTTTTTTTTTAACTAAACTTAGTCTTTTTTCCCCTCTCTGCCTTGAATACAGTGGGGATTGGATTCTGAGTTGTCTTGGGTTTTGCCCTTTATAATCAGAATGGAGGGTGTGGAGGAGTAGGATTTGAACTAATTAGCAGAAACTGGCCACGAAGGTAAAGTGCATTTTGTTAACCAAGCCAGTCCAGGCTACCAATGCTTTCTACTGTGCTAGAAAGCTACAATGCTAACATTTTGGTGCTAAAAGAAAGCTGTTTCCATTAAATGTTTTATTGCATTGTAAGGACATCTGGTTATGTGGTACAAGACTTTGGACTTAGGGTTGTCTGGAAGTGGAGGGCTCATGTCCAACTATACATGGATGTTGGTAAATACTTCAGAAGTGATCTGAGATAATCCAGCAAACAAGATTTGTGCCTCAGTGAAGTGTTGGTTAGGTACTTCGGTCATAAGTACCAAGGTGAACTTCTAGACCCAGACCTAAGATTTATTTTGTAAACTTCATACTGTGGTATCAAACTGGAAGCAGCATCCCTTTTCCTACATTGTTTTGCTACTACTTTGGAGTTTCTTGACCTAAAATTAAGTGGATTTTTGACATAAGAAATAGTACTCAAGAGTGTGTCTAGGCACTTGAAAGGAGAAGATTTCTTGTATATCATAGCTGGACTCCGCAGAAGGTCCAGAAACACTTTCCAGGAGCAAGCAAACTTAGACACCTTCATGTTTCAATTAAGGCTCTAAATAAGACCAGGAAAGCAGTCTGAAGTATGCAGCATCCATATGACAATCCTGTGGTGCCTAAACTTGGAAGTCAAGGTATCTGCTGAAATGTTTTCAGCTAAACATTAGTACATAATACTGAATATTTTCTTTCATTCGAATTCCTAACATGTCTGTAATAGACACTGAGTTTCTCTTCGAAGTGTAACACTATCCATTCCTGAACAGGGCAAATGAATTCTCTTTTGCAGAACACCTTGATGATTTAGGTAATTCAGGAAGTCAGCAATCACCTGAAAGGGTTCAAATCATAACCTTTCTCAGGAAAGGTGCCGAAGTCTGTAAGTTACATGCAAGATCAGGATGTGACTGTAAAATATATGGGATATACTGTACAAACACAGTACTTGTTATGGAGGATGAGGACTGGTCATACATCATCCTAACATCTATGGGAAAGGTACTATTCAGTCAGGCAGTTGTCAGTTGAAGAGTCAAACAATGACATTTGCAACTTGCAAAAACACCAAGAATTGTGAAAATCACCAAATCATACTCCTAGCATAAAGTTCTTGGTGTATATGGCACTGTGGGTATATGGAGACAATTCTCCCAATGAACAGGGTGCACCCTGCCCTTCAGGTTACTTTCAGACCATTAATACTGCACAAAGTTAGGCACACAAATAATTCAAATTTGCCTTAACAAGTGACTAACTGAAAAAAAAAAATGTGTTGAGAGAAAAATAAACAACAAAACCCCCAGCAACAAAATAAAAGCTTTAAAAAATCCAAGAAGTCCTGGATCATATGTAGCAATAATATAAAGGGCCGTTGTCCGTAATGGTCCTAGCTGACTTCCTGATAGCCCTCCCTGTCCTGTCTGATTGTTGCCTAAGACTGTATTTTATCTGTTTTGAAAGGAATTTTCTGAGGTTATTCAAAGCAACTGCCTGTGCTATTTTTTTTTTTTTTTGCCTTCCTTGCATCAAAATGGAATTTTTCTCATCCCTTTCAGCAACTTCACATTTTGTCTAATTTCATGGTTTCATTTGCAGTAGACATGCCTATAGCAGCCCTTAGTACTCTTCAAATCCCTTGCCAGTTCTTCTCCAAGCAGACTTTGGCTTTCTTGATTCCATTCCTTCATGCTAAGACAGTGGCTCTGTATTCCTTCTGGGTCACTTGCCACTGTTTCCACCTTGTGTGTTCCTTTTAATAACTTTAGTCAGGAGCTCGTTGTTCATTCTTGTCAGCTTCTCAGCTTCCTGCCACCTTTGCTTGATTTCCCACACATCAGGATTGGAGAAAGTGATCACTGAAAATCAACCAACTGCCTTGGACTCTTCTGTCTAGGGCTGTCTGCCTTAGCTTTCCTCTCATGCTGGTAGACCAGAACTGCCCAGGTCTACCCTTCTGATATAAAGGGTTATGGTCCTGCTACTGCTTTCAGGGCAAAATACTACTTGGTTACATTTCTTGTTCTATTGCTGAGGTAAAAATATTGTCTCTACTTAATGGTGTTTTTTTTTTGTTGAATCCAGCCCTTCTTATTCAGTCTTAGTCGATGGGGTCACTGTAGGCTCTTTGGGACTAAGGGTCATCTTTTTTATGTTAGAGATATGCCCTAATCCTCACTTGTTCCCCAGCTGGCATCACAGTATTTGATGTGTAGGATTCACATCTAGCACTTCATCTGCCAGTGCAGAAACTGCATGAGCAGTAGCTGGAAAGTTGTGCAGCTAGAAGAATGTGTTTCTGTTGCTGAGTTCTGTATTCACAGTGCACAGTAAATCCATAAGGGAATTAAAAAAGAAGACAGCTGGATCTTTAAATACTTATTGGGGCTGCTATGTCAGTGTTTTTAAGCATATTGAGAAATTATGGATACTTTGGTAGTGGTGCATCATGTTTTGCAAATTGTGATGTCCACATAGTGTATCATTTTGGTAGATTAAGTATTCAGTAACTTCATAAATCTTTTTGTATCTCTGGGGGGGAGTTTTGATAGATGTCATACTTGGACCAGGCAAATTTATCTTCCTTGAGGAAAAAAGAAAAAGCTCCTTAAATAAAATGAGGTCTAATTCACACTGATTTTTTCAGTGGGTTCTAGGAATTTGGTCCAGTTCCTATTATTCTTTCCCATTCTGAGTACCTGTAAGAGACTCTCTGTAATTAAAAACCAAAAGACATTGATTTTCTATTTTTGTTTTTTTTAATGATATGGAGGAAGAAGGAATACATACTTTAAAACCAAGAAATAAAGTTTCTAATTCTACTTATTTGGGGTTTTTTGTTTTGTTGGGTTTTTTGTTCTTTGAGGGTTTTTTTTGTTTTGTTTTGCTTTTTGTTTTTTCTTGATAGATAAAAATGGCTGCCCAAAAAAAGGGATATGTGAATAAATTAGTCAGTATTCTAACAAGTGAGACCTTTTGGGTCATCTTATTCTTCCCTTGCCAGTGTGGAATTATTCTCTCTGTGCCATTTGGAAATGTAGTATCTAATTTAAAAATTGCCGAGGTAATGTATTTTCATTATTCCACATGATTTTATCAATCAGAATATATTATAATTTGATAGTAATTCTTTTTAATGACTAGCACAATAAACAAGAACTCTCCCACATGCAGCTGTGATTATGCCTCATTTGTTTGAGGTAATGCACAGACACAAAAGGTAGTCCTGTATAAGATTTTTGCTTTGCAA